ATATATATATATATATATATATATATATATATATACACACATACATACACACACACACATATAACGTGACCCGATATAACATGAATTCGGATAGAATGCGGTAAAGCAGCGCTGGGGGGGGGGGGGGGCGTGTGCACTCCGGTGGATCAAAGCAAGTTCAATATAACGCGGTTTCACCTATAACGCGGTAAGATTTTTTGGCTCCTGAGGACAGCGTTATATCAGGGTAGAGGTGTATATGACAACACAGAAGATGGAGAGATATTTTTATTGACTGTCCTAAATGGTGAAAGAGAGAGACAAGATGGGCGAGATATCATCTGTCATTGAACCAACTTCTGTTGGTAAGAGACACTTTTGAGCTACACAGAAAGGTAGAAAGTGTCACACCTAAATCCAAGATCCAACAGATAATTTTGATACTACTTATGCTAAACTAACAAACAAACAAAAAACCCTGTTTAATAGCAACCCATGGGTCATGTTAGGTATGAGAGGAAACTCACTTTGGAAAAAAAAAAAAAGCTGATATCTTCATGTATAATCTCAATAGCCAATATTTGACTGAATAAGAACATTCACTCTTCAAACTGGCTTCCTAGTCAAATGCACATATGGAGCTACTTCAAAAAATAAAAATTATTATTTCATAACATATGCTATATTGTTACTTTTGAACATGATTTTTGCACAATAGTGACTCCTTTTCTTTAAGCTGTTAATACTTCACAAAGGCCAAGGCAAAAGTTTTCAGTTAATGTAATATGTTAACAAATAAAACAAAGAAGTGTTCACAAGTTACATACCTGTTCTTTTAGTACAATAATTCCATGGCATGACAAAGTCATATTTCAGCATTGCACTAGTCTAAGGATTTTTTTATTTCTTTTACTAGTTACTGATATCGTGACTCAAGAGTTTCATTTTGATTAAGCATTAGTCAGAGGATATAGTTCTGTGCTATTGAAAGAATAGATAGATCTAGTTGAGTTTAGTAATAAGTTGGCATCATTCTCAAAAAAAGATAATTGTTCATTCCAAAAGTTACCTATGCTGATAGCCAGCATAATGGTCAATGGACTTAACACTAAAGCTGCTTAAATAGATTTTTAAAAACGAACAGATTTGTAAATCAGGACTGAGTAAAGTTTATTACAAATCATTGGATCCTACTATTCATGACTCTCTCAGTAGCCACTGAATATTGACTGTGGATTCCCAAAGTAACAAATATCATGAAGGATTATTTGTCTTAAAACTGGTAGCAGACATGCATGATTGTTTTATTCACTATTCGGTTTAAAATGTTAGTCTTCTAGCTAAAGAGCAGAAAAACAAATAAACAGCTATAGCAAACATTACAAAAATGAGTATCTACAAATTATTCATTCAAATTATTTGTCAAATGCTTACAAATAAACATATCAGAAAAAAATGGGACTGGTTGATAAATGATTTGCTAACCCTGAAAAGAAGCTAGTTCAGGAAAAAAAAATATATATATATATATATAGTAACAAATTGTTCAGTAAGTTCTATCTGAAGCCTTGGTGAAAAAAACAAGAGACTCCATGCTAGAATTTATCTTGAACTGTTTACACTGGGAGGAAATCTTGGCTTCACTGAAGTCAATGGAAGTTTTTTCCCCTTGAGTATATGATGAACACACCACTTAACCCAGGAACCAGCAATGTGGATTTATAAAATATATATAAAATATGTAAAATATATATATGCCGATGGCTTAATAGTGTAAAAACCTCAACCAGTTTGGAGAGTGAATGAAGTCCAAGTGTGAGACTAAAGTGGCATGCTTCAAATTCAGGAAGAAGAAATACAGTTGCTGCATTGTTCATAAATATCTCCTGCCATTGCAGTATATTTTGAAAATCATCAACCAGGGTGACTTTCTTCTCTCTCAGATAAAGGGAAGTGCACTGAAAATATGTTGGGGCCAAAAACATTAAGGAAGAGGGAGGCCTGGGGGAAATATATCTAGACCCTTCCAAACCATATCTACAAAAGGATGTAGGTGTTCACTCTACAGATGTCTTATGCTAGGGAGAAGGTATACATATATGAAAAAAGATGGGATTTATAAAAATTAGAATTGGCCTAATTCTTCTTCCATTAAAATTGATAGTAAAACCTGGAGTTACACCAGTGCTGATCTGTTTTGAAAAAATTACACCCACAATGAACAAGAACTACAAGTTAATTACGACTGGCAAGACACTAATTATTATTATAGATTACTTTTTATCAGTATATGACAGCACAATCCAAAATGTCTCCCCCATGAAGCTACTCCAACATACATACTCCTCCTATTGTTTCAAGCCAGAGACCTTGAGTGTCAAAATACTGTAGAAACATAGGCCAATACTTTAAAAGGTGGGTGGGTCTAAAGTCTGAATCCATATTTAGGCCAGATTTTCAAAGGTGCTGAACACCTGCAGCTCCCCCATAGGCAATAAGAGCTGTAGGTTCTCAGAACCTTGGGGGCAGAGGGGGAGAAATCAGCTTACTCATTTAGGTAACTAACTTCAAGTGCATACATTTGAAAATCCTGGCCAATCTGCACGTTTTGACCTAAATCCTTTAAATTCTCTCTCAATTAAAATAGTACAATATAAACTGCCCAGAACTAATCTTGCATTTATGCTCTACCTTCGAAAACGTTAAATCCCGGTGCAAAGAGGTCAAACTCATTTTCAGTCAAATACACGAAAAGTTGATTTTTAGCTACAAACTAGTGCATCATTTCCACTAACCTTCAGGATCAAGGAGTTTCTCAATACCCAAGTGCCGTTTGGCAGTGTTGAAGGCATGGTCTAACCGTTGTACAGCTGACTGTTGGCAAGCCACACTGTTCCAATCAAATAGATCTGGTCTAAGAAGAAGGGGGGGGGGGGAGAAAAAAGAAAAGCACAATTATCAATTTCTATTTCCCTTTGACATTCAATTTAATTCTAGATTTTGATTGGTATCCAACAACTGCATATAACAAATTTTATATAAAAATACATAAATCTCAGCAGAATACAAATGATGTAAGTTCAATCAAACGAGTCAGCTGATATCAGTGAAGCAGTAGAGCACACTTTAAGTGTTTCATAAACAGAGGAAAAACCACTAAGATTGTACATCTAAACTGTAATTCAATCTACGGCCTTGTATTATCACTTGCAATATTTGCAATATAAATATTTTTAATACTTTCCTAGCCTTGAAATTTCAAGTAAGAGGTATTCATGGAAATCTGAATTTGTTATCAGGCACACTGGAAAAGAAAGTTTAACCTGGTATACTGAAGTTTAATCACTGTGCATATGATATGGAGAAACAAACAATTAAATTATTTATGACCTGGATATATACAATGTTCTAAGATCAAAAAGAGTTTTAATACAGGATTTTACTTCAGAATAAATCAGAAAGGCTATCTGCTAAAGTTAAAAGCCTGTGATTAGGATTGGCATACATAGTTGTGTTATTTAGTAAATAAAAAAGTGTCTCCATTTAGAAACCTTCTGAAAGCAAAGTAGGCTATGTTTTAGTGAAATAAAATAATCTATATCCTACTGAAATGCTAACCAGAGGCAAGGGATTCTATTTACTAACAGTTTTACCAGTTATTCAGTTACCAGCACTCTGATTTTTTTCTGGGGAGGAAAAGAGTGATTTTCATGGTCACAATTAAATTTCTCAAAAGTAGTACTCAAAATTGCTAAAACTACTGAACTGTGTGTTTGTATTTAATGTGCCCGTCATTGTCACATAAGCTTCAATATAATTGACCTGACAATTATACAAATGTCAGTAAATAGAGGGCAAATGAGCTCCTAAAGAAACAAATATAAGATTTCACCTTGCATACAGTACTGATTGCTTATCCTTATAAGTTTAATGGATTTGCATGATAGCAACAGTAAATTTGGATGAAGCTTGGATGATGGCACCAATATGGTTACTGTATCACTATACTGACACTGAATTTTTTCATATGTCCACAATTGTAGTCTGAACACTTTAAAGCCTGTACAAAACAGCAATAAAGAGATCTAATGTTAAAAGTCTTATTCACATTGGGTAAATGCTTTCAGGATCAGGCTCTAAGTACAAAAGAATGTGTGGCAGCTGAGATCACTACAGTGGCATACAGTGAAGGCTGAGGGTTTTGTTGCATGGAAAGAAATTTGCAGCCTACATGCCTGTGGTAATCAGTGGTACATATGGGTCAGAATTCTATACTTCACCTTACCTGATGATTTGTGTGTGTTTCAATGTTTTCACCACGTGAGCAACTGTTTGTGTCGTTTGGAGCACATTTTAACTGTTCCCTAATAAAGTTTGCTTGGGTTAATTAAAACTAAATTTATAAAACATTGAATACAGCATTTAAATATGCTCTTCCCTAATCCGTTAGTTGTAGAAGGATCATTGTTGAATACATACATATTTTTGGGACAATACTATATCATCCTATTTCTAGCTGCAAATCATCTTGAATTCAGAATTATCCCCTCAGTCTACAGTTTCATCCATCTCCTGAATCATGGGTGTCAGGAGATTTTGAATATGATGGACCCATGTAAACCAAGACACTGGCACTCTGTCTTCTGTCAGGAAGAATTGTCATAAGACCCCAGGAGGATAAAAGGGTCGTTTTTGAATGTTTCAGAAAGACTTGTACCATAAATCAATCCGTATAACTCAAGAGTTGCAGAAAGAACCATGTACTGGAGAACGACACAGTATAGGACTCCAATTACATTTCCATGTTCATCTTCTAAACTAACTGCATAATCGGCATGCATCTACAGCTACTCTTTTTATTTGATACATATGCAGTACTTTAGGGGAAAAAAAAAAGAGTACCTCTGAGTACCAGAGTGTTGGAATAAGAATTTAAAATAGATCATTGACTGGATGATGATTTTATTAGGGGGTAAGGGACTTTTTTTTTTTAAGTATCTTCATTCTGTAACAGTAGAACATAATGACAGAGAGAGGGGGGATCACCTTAAGAACCATCAGCTTGACACTGCAAAATGTGAGTCCCATTCAAACACATGAAGCTTAAATACAAAAATTGAAGGTAAGGTTAACCTTCAAAAGAGTTCCTCCTACTTCAACAATATCTAAACTTTCACTTTTTTTCCCCCTTTGTCAAAACAGAGTGGCCCCAGCAGTAGAATATGAATGAATTTCAAATGTCATCTTTTCAGTATGATGTCTTTTTTTTTAGACAGCTCATGGTCTATATTCAATGGCTGATACTGCCAAGCACAATCCCCTGAGACCGAAGTTAAATAAGAGATTTAAATAAATAAATAAATAAAGTCTGTGTATGGCAAATAACTTATTCAACTCAGTACAATAAAAAAATATAGTGGTGCCACTAACAACTATTAACTTAAGCTTAAAATACTAAGTTAAATGGAGAATAATTCTGACCTTCAGGAGGAGATTGGTAGCTATTTCTTCTTCTTTTTTTTTAAAAGCAAAAATTCTCAACTTTGATCCACTCCCTATGTGCTGCTCAGCTGTTACTACCTCACAAGATCCCTTCTCCAATTATCTCTGGCACAGAGGAAGTACCAGCAGCCAAAAAGCTGTCAGAGCTCACCAACACCTCCCTTTCCACAGACCCCAGAACAGAGACACATTGGGGGCATCAGGAGTGGTTGGATTGTGATGAGCTCCAACTATCCCTAAGCTGTGGTTTGGTTCCTATGGGACCAAATGTGGGTGACAAAATTTAAAGCAGACCCCAGGCTACCCTAATTTGCTCCAGGGCTCGAGTAGTGCACAGTAACAGGGAACCATAATTGACTCACTGACACACTCCCATGTCCAGAAATGGGTCTATCTGACCCAAAGGATCAACCTGATCCAAGGTCCTGCAGCAACACACACTGCTCAGTCACAGTAATGATGTCTTAGGGTTATCAAGAGCCAAAGCAGATAAAGGGACCTGAGAAATTTCACATAGTAGAAGCAAAAAACAATTACATTAACTATGAAGATATTTTGCAGTGCTAGCATCTGTAGCTTCTCATGTAAACAAACAAAATTCAAGTTCTGCAAAATATTACATATACAAAGGAATCAGAATGACAATTTGGTTAGATACTGTTCAATTACATAAACTATGGCAGGAAGCAGACGGTATCAGACAGTAATATTCACAGAAAGTGTGACAAGAAAACCCAGCCATTACATTCAGAGGGAAATCAAAGCCAGGGATAAGGCCAACTGCAAAAATACCCAAAGCAGCAAGGTATGAGAGAAGTAAACAAAGTAGATGTTCACTTCCCAGTAGCTATCATTTTTCCCTACTGCAACTTTTTTCCAAGTCACAGTCGAACATCTCATACAAATCACACTAATAATAGACATTTTCAAGATAAATGCAGAAGCTGAATGTATCTTGGACATCTAGATTTTTTCTCTCTCACAGTAACACCCCTATTCCTCGTTTATTGGGGGGGGGGGACTTAAAATGAATTCCAAATAATGAACAAATAGGAGTAAACATCACTGATAGAAATAGGGACTAAAAGAAAAAACAAGCAGCAAGGGATAGGGATCAGAGAAAGATTTTGGCTCTTCCACTTTTGGCCTCTTTATACACTGGAGACATGCTCGTGCAATCAATAAGATTCTTCCATATGGGAATAGATTAAAATAAAATGTTCACCAGTATAAACTGAGTCTTCCTGTTGGGTGGCCAGAAGCTACTATACACACAATACTGTAGAACCTCAGAGTTATAAACACCAGAGTTGCAAATTGATCAGTCAACCACACACCTCATTTGGAACTGGGAGTATATAATCAGGTGGCAGCAGACACCCCCACCCACCCCCGCAAAAAACTAAACACACAAAAATACCCCCAAAACAGTTCAGTACTGTGTTATACATAACTATTCAGACAATATAGGGAAGTTTAAAAAAAAAAGATTTGATAAGGTAAGGAAACAGTTTCTGTGCTTCTGCACAGTAATCTTTCAAGGCTGTATTAAGCCAATGTTCAGCTGTACGCTTTTAAAAAGAACCACCGTAACATTTTTCTCAGAGTTACGAACATTTCAGAGTTACAAACAACCTCCATTCCTGAGGCGTTTGTAACACTGAGATTCTGCTGAACACATTTTTGTTCTCTTAACTGAATGGCTGGGTTTTCATTGGCATTCTGATCCTGTCTGCAGAGGGAAATCTATTGCTGGCTAACTGTTTAGCCCGGGTCTCTTCAGGAACACTGATGCCAGGTCTCTAGGTATGGTATCATTTGGTGAGGGGGAAATGAATAGGATATCTTCAGTTCCATAGCAGTTCAAACAAATTAGGAAGAAATTTTTGGGTTGTCAAAGTGACTTGTGAGAATAAAAAACACGTTCACACTACTACAGTTTTCTATTGGCTTTACTTCAGTTTTCTGTTTAGCTTCCTGAAAGCAAACCTCTCTCCCCAGTTCATTTCTAGTCTGCACTGTATAGCTTTTTTAACATGTAATACTCCTCCTCTCCTCTCTGTCCCCAAGAAGCAGAGGCAGCTGCAGTGAACTGCTGATTTCTAAGGCATTTGCCTGGCCTGAGTTCAGGCATTTTAAAGAAGCAGATGTGCAGGAAGCTAATGAATGCCGCTTGTTTTCACTGAACTTCCTGATTAAAAATAGTTACAGGGCCAGGGCAAGTTTGGGACTAGGGATATACTACAAAAGGCAGAGATAGTCCTTTAAAAGCCATTAGGGGAAACCTGGCTGAAGGGATAAAAACTCAGCTCTCCTGAAGTCTCACTGTGGGAGCGAGAGAAGATGAATTAGTAAGAGCTGAACATGAGCTCCCAATGTGATGCTCTGGCAAAGAAAGACTAATGCCATCCT